TTCCAAGTCTTTGTTATTGTAAACAGTGCTGCAGTAAACATACGTGTGCCTGTGTGTTTATAGTAGAATGATTTATAATACTTTGGGTATATACCCAGTAATGGGATTGCTGGGTCAAATGGTATTTCTGCTTCTAGATCCTTGAGGAATCTCCACACTGTCTTCCATAATGGTTGAACTAATTTACACTCCCACCAACAGTGTAAAAGCGTTCCCATTTGTCCACATCCTCACCAGCATCCGTTGTTTCCAGACTTTTTAATGATCGCCATTCCAATTGGCATGAGATGGCATCTCTTTTGATTTGCATTTCTCTAATGACCAGTGATGATGAGCTTTTCTTCATATGTTTGTTGGCCACATAAATGTCTTCTTTTGAGAAGTGTCTGTTCATATCCTTTGCCCACTTTTTGATGGGGTTGTTTTTTCGTTGTAGATTCTGGATATTAGCCCTTTGTCAGATGGATAGATTGCAAAAATGTTCTCCCATTCTGTAGGTTGCCTGTTCACTCTGATGGTAGTTTCTTTTGCTGAGCAGAAGCTCTTTAATTTAATTGATCCCATTTGTCAATTTTGGCTTTTGTGGCAATTGCTTTTGGGATATGTGGTCACCCTACTTATGCAAGATTTTTCTGGGACATAGCCAATAATTAGCAAGATACATACTGAATAGCCTTTCCCTTTCTGGTGGTTTCCCACTGGCATCTGTTTCAATTGGTTGGTCCATATGCTAGATGATTGCCAAAGATTTTAGGCATCATACTTGGTCTTAAGGGGGATTTCTAGGTCACATGTCATAGACATACTTAATAAGTTTGAGTTCCTGTTTATAGATGGGTGGAATTTTAAAACGTCTTCCCATTTTTTTGGAGATTCTGCATTTGTACTGTATATTTATTCATCCTTTCTTTGTCAGACTATCTAGTTTGGAGCTTTAGCAGCCATTAATTTATGGACAACTACTCCTAGCGCCTTATCCCAGTAGAGCAACTACTATGTAGTTTATGAAGAATTTTTTTCATATTTTATGTTATTGGCCCCTAACACTTACCCATTGAGGTAGAGAGGGCAGAATTTATAACTCTCATTTTATAGAAAAGGAAGCTGAGGATCAGAGGTAAACTGACTTGCTTCAGTCCACATATCTAGTAAGTTATAAACTTAGAATCAAGTCTTCTGACTTTGATTTGCTTCTACAATATCTAAAAGGGACAGGGAAAAGGATAAATTTTGGTTTGTGGTTAAAGTAGGAACTGTCCAGGTTAGCTTTATGTCTTCCTCAGAACATAACATAATGCCTAACACATAGTGAATGATGATTTGCTTCTGCAGTATCTTAAAGGGACAGGAAAAAAGAGAAACTCCAGTTTGTTATCAAAGCAGGGAGTGTGCAGTTTTACTTTATGTCTTCCTCAATTGATAACACAACATCTGACACATGAGATTCAATCAGTAATTTTTATTGAGCAAGTGAACTGGGGATTATGTTGGTATCTGTATGGCCTAAGTTCAGTTGGTCATGCCACTCCTCAATGCTGTGGTAACTCTTTTATTGCAGCAGTGCTTTGGCTTATAGATAAACCCAGTTCTGTAAATATTCTGGCTGAACAAAGTGCTTCAGGTCAGTCCAGGAGTTCTCATGTTAAATAGTTTGGTTCATTTACAACAGAAGTAGCGACGGGTTAAAAATGTACCTATATAATATGACTTCGATGGGGTGTGTAGTAGAGGCCCTTGTTTGTTTATGGTAAATCTCAGTAAAATTTCTTCTACTCTTCCTTTTCTTATGCAGTTAACTTTGAATAACCAGTAGCAAAGTCCTTTCTCTTGCTAACTACTATATTGCATTCAGCTGCTTAACATTTGTTTCCTGTTCCCAAGATCACCAGAGGCACCTGTAGTGTTTGATGAGGATGTTGGATTTCATAGAAAGATTTTCTCTACATAGTTTGTTCTAGCTTGGGAGAGCTGGGTTGGCCTTGGCCCACTTGTTCAAAGCTGTCACAGTTTTTAAGTCGTTTAAAAACCTTCAATAATCTTGTTCCATCTACTTTTCCACTTTATCTCAAATTTCTGTACCTTCTCCAATACTTCCCACCTCTATGATACAAATTGAGGGTGCTGTGCTCCAAGAAAATCATTTAGTAAGTTAAGCTACTATTTTTAATACCCAGCCCTTCAAGGAAGTTAAAATAGCATCTTCCAGAAGTAGCACTTTCTTATTTAATTTATTTAGAGAAACAGGGTCTTGCTGTGTTGCCCAGCCAGGTCACAAACTCCAGAAGTAGCACTTTCTATGATGTATCTTTTTATTTTATTATTTTAGAGAATAAATTCTTTTTATTCTGTAGCTGCAGAGATTTTATGCACAACGTATGCTTTTTATTTATTTTATTTTATTTTTGAGATGAGGTCTCACTCTGTCACCCTGGCCGGAGTGCAGTGACACAGTCTTGGCTCACTGCAATCTCTGCCTCCCAGGCTCAAGCAGTCCTCCCACCTCAGCCTCCTAAGGTTGGTCATGTGCCACCACGCCTGTCTAATTTTTTGTATTTTTGGTAGAGATGGGGTTTCACCACGTTGCCCAGGCTGGTCTCAAATTCCTGAGCTCAAGTGATCCACCCACCTTGGCCTTCCAAAGTGCTGGGATTATAGGTGTGAGCCACTGTGCCTGGCTAAGGTATGCTTTTTAAATTAAATGTTTCCTGTTGTGTCTTTGTTTGGTCATGTTTTTCTTTAAATCACAAATTGATTTGCTAGTGCTTATGTTAATACTGTGAGCTTCAGGTGTAAGCTTTTCTCCCACCAATGGGAAGAACTTTCAGAAAGCCCACATATGTCTCTTTTTATTTTTGTTTTTGAGACGGAATCTTGCTCTGTTGCCCAGGCTGGAGTGCAGTGGTGCGATCTCTGCTCACTGCAAGCTCCGCCTCCCAGGTTCATGCCATTCTCCTGCCTCAGCCTCCCGAGTGGCTGGGACTACAGGCACCTGCCACCATGCCCAGCTAATTTTTTGTATTTTTAGTAGAGACAGGGTTTCACCGTGTTAGCCAGGATGGTCTCGTTGCGATCCGCTTTCCTCAGCTGGGATTACAGACGTGAGCCACCGCCCCGCCCCCTCCCCGCCCCGCATATGTCTCTTTAAGTATCTTTTCTATTGTGACCAGTGTAGGCTGGTGATTATGGTTATTCCTTCCAATTGCACCACCAGATTTTTGGTTCTTGTTTCCAAACTATCTCCTTTCTCTTACACTATGGCCCTGAATTCTACCAGTAGCTGACATTAAGAACCCTAGGTAAGTTCCTTTTTCCTTTTTTTTTTTTTAAGCATAGGTAAAATCCCTTCATAACAATGGTTTCTGTACAGTGAAATCCTTTCTAGCACTTAGTTGTTGGTCCATGGAAATAGCACTTTGATACTCAGTTTTCTTTCCTTCTCTTTTTTCTTTTTTAAAATATTTTATTTTACTGTGGTAGGAACACTTAACGTGAGATCTACTCTGAACAGATTTTTCAGTGTACAATATAGTATTATCTATAGGCCAGTGTTGTACAGCAGATCTCTAGAACTTGATTCATCTTGCATAACTAAAATTATATGTGTTTAAAATAGTCAAACTCATAAAAACAAATATTAGAATGGTGGTTTCCAAGGACTTAGGGAAGAAGAACTGGGGAGTTGCTAATCAATGAGTAGTCAGTTTTTTCTACAGTGAATAAAACTTGTCAATTACTATACCCAAATATAGATTGAGTAGCCCAAATCCAAAAATCTGAAGTCTGAAATGCTTCCAACTCCAAAACTTTTTTTTTTTTTTTTGAGATGGAGTCTTGCTCTATCACCCATGCTGGAGTGCAGTGGCGCGATCTCGGCTCACTGCACCAACTCCAAAACTTTCTAAGGGCCAACATGATGTTCAAAGGAAATGCTCATTGAAGCATTTCAGATTTCAGATTTTTGGATTAGGGATGTTCACCTGGTAAGTTTAATTCAAATGTTCCAAAATCCCCCAGATTCAAAATTCAAAACACATTTGGTCCTAAGCATTTTGGATAAGGGATACTCAACCTATATATGGTTGTACTTGAAGTAGCAAAGGAAGGGAAGGTAAATTTGGTGATTTAGTCCTACCATGAAACAGCAGTTACCTTTCTGGTTCTGAGGTTTCTCTGCCAATACCTACACCACTGCCTCCACCAACCAAAATAGAAAGAAAAAAAAAAAAATGAAACTCTCAAGAGATTTTTCCAAAGCACTATCATACATAAATTCTCCAGAAGCTTGGGAGAAGGAAAGTGTGGAAGGGAAGGTATGGTTAGGAATCTCTCACACTAAATTAGGAACAGTTCATTTGATAATTGGTAAAAATGCATAGCTTCTTCTCATGAACACAACTAACCCTGCTGTGGTAATATCAGGAATGTCAGGAATTGGGTCCTTTGAATACCATCAACAGGATCAAAATTAAATGTGAGTAGAAGAATTTACATGTAGGCTGGGCATGGTGGCTCACACCTGTAATCCTAGAACTTTGGGAGGCCAAGGCAGTAGTGATTGCTTGAGGCCAGGAGTTCATAACCAGCCTGGGAAACTGAGTTATGAACTCCTGAGTAGCTGGGATTACAGGCACCTGCCACTATGCCCCCTAGCAAGACTGTCTCAAAAAAAAAAAAGAAAAAGAAAAAAAAGAAAGAACTTAGAGTAATCACCATTACTCTTTAAGTTCTATATATATCTTTCTTTATATATTCAACAAAACAGGTGAATCACTGTGTTTATATTTTCAGTTGTGCCTCATTTGAGTGAGCAACTCAATACTCTTGATACTGCTGACCTTGTTCATGACCATTCACCAGCTCCATCACAGCCTGACTCGCCAGCGTCTCCTCTCCATCAGCCTTTCCTGCCCAGTAGGCTTTTCCTCCCTTTCTCTTCATCTTCTCTAATCCCTTTCTTTCTTCTTCACCCCCATCTTTTTACTCCTCCATGATTTTCTCAGGGCTGGGCTTCAACATCGTCGGTGGGACAGATCAGCAGTATGTCTCCAACGACAGTGGCATCTACGTCAGCCGCATCAAAGAAAATGGGGCTGCGGCCCTGGATGGGCGGCTCCAGGAGGGTGATAAGATACTTTCGGTGAGAATGGGCTTCGGCCTCCTTCACTGTCCTTTGCTCCCTAAGCCCTAGGTCCTACCCCTATCCCTTTCCTTGGAAAGATTTGGGTCTGGAAATATACAGATTATAGAGCTGAATGGGAACAACTCTGATCAGTCATTCTTTCCAACCCTATCATTGAGCATGGAGGGCAATATTATGCTCACCTGATAAATGAGAATGTGAAGCCCAGAATGTGAAGTTACTTGTTCAAAAAGCACGAGGCAGGAAGCAGCGAGGGACTCATACGGGGAAAAGAGATATAAAATCCACAAATTTTGTCTTTCATCCATCATCGCCTCCTTTTGTTGATTAAAACACTAATGTGTATCTTCCTTTGGGGGAATGTCAGCCCTTATAATTGGATTTAACTTCAAAAAACAGAAAGAAGGAAGGTTGGAATTAAGTGTCCTTTTCAGACTCAGAGCCCTTTTTCACCCATTATTAACATGAAAATTTGGAATGCAGTTGATTTGGGTATCTGTCCACTGTGTTCCCATTTCATCCTGCTAATGTCTCTACCAAGACTTACTACATGGAAATTATTAATCTTATTATTTTCTAGAATTTCCTCAAGGGGAGTGACAAGATCCTTTTTTTTTTTTTTTTTTTGAGATGGAGTCTCGCTCTGTCACCCAGGCTGGAGTGCAGTGTCATGATCTTGGCTCACTGCAACCTTTGCCTCCCGGGTTCAAGTGATTCTCCTGCCTCAGCCTCCTGAGTAGCTGGGACTACAGGTGCCTGCCACTATGCCCAGTTAATTTTTTGTATTTTTAGTAGAGATGGGGTTTCACCATGTTGGCCAGGCTGGTCTCGAACTCCTGACCTCATGATTCGCCCTCCTCGGCCTCCCAAAGTGCTGGGATTAGAGGCGTGAGCCACCGGGCCTGGCCTGGCCTAAGATCTTTTTTTTTAACATGTTGAATCATAGCGCAATGTTTAATAATGTTTAAGAAATGAACAAGTTAAGAAATTCAGGCAAACCTAAAAAGACTAGCTGATAAATACGGGCCCACAGACCTCAGGTCTTAAAATAAATTAGAACAAGCCTACAGTAAAAACTATTAAAATGCAAAATATAACTCTGGCCCTATTGTTCATTTCTCCACATTACCATAGGTCACAGTAATCCTATGATACTATCAGTTGCTGGGGGATAAGGAGGTGTAGATTGGAGATAATTATTCTGTAGAATTTCTTTTTTTATTAACTTTCAGGACTAGTGAAAAATGGCCAACTTATTACTCGTATGGAAACAGTACAGATGGTTGGTATAAAGAATGGAAAAATGCTGAGGGTGTGAGATATTATCTAGAATATTCTTGGGAGAGCTGGCTTCAAAGGGCTAGACTTAAATAAAAGGAAATTGAAATAGGATAGGGCTTCTCATAGGAGAAGCTCCTAAGCAGAAGCTCCTGTCTTCTCCAGATGGGCCATAAGCCCACGGTCTGAAGAGGAGAAAACTATTCCCTGTTTTCTTTTAGAACTGAATAGGGCAGGATGGCCAGGTTGGGAAAAGATTGAAATAAATGAATGAAGTATAGACAGGAGAAGTCTTGATTGACAGAATTAAGTATTAGTCTCAGAGACATGATTTTGAACCTACCTCTATAATAAGTTAGCTTCATCCCTTAAATTTTTTTTGCTATATAGTTTCATTTGAATTTCACTTCACTTTTCATGCAGTTCAGGTGATTAGTGATTACAGGTCATACGTGTGAAATCTCTTGCTCTTCTTAGTTGCCAGCTTACTGAACACTTCTCTGCCATGCAGCCCATTTGGTAGTAGTACCTGAAGGCAGAGATACAAAGGAAAAGAGAAAGAACATCCATCTTCTCTTCATTTGGCATCTGAGTATTTGAGTGATCAGGCTCAGCAGTATGGATCTGAATGCCTCTTCAGGAAGACCGTGACTCCACTTAGTCCCCAAAAAAGAAAGAAAATCAGAACAAGTAGCTATTAGAGCCACCTAAATTAGCTCAAGAATGTCTAAGCATGTGTCCTCGCTGATCTATAATATAAATATAGTATCAAGCACCACAGTATTTCAGTCCTTCTCATTGACTGTTTTGCCTCTCTTCCATCCGTTAAGCTTCTCCTAGACCCTATTTATTAATCTGTGAGATGGAGACAGTGATAATATACTGTCTTCTCAAAAGGATAGTGAAAAGTTTAGAAGCAGATTATTTCCTTTAGCTCCCAGGGAAAGACATTCATCCAATATGAATCAACTTGGCAGTGGTACTGTAAGGAAATGCTGAGAGTGGGTTGTTAAAATAAAGGTGTAGCATGTAGTTAGAATCTATGCAGCTTAATATTTTGACACATAAATTACATTATCCTCAGAACACTGGAATCTGGGCTCTGTGGATGAAGAATAGGAGTTAAGAAGAGAAAGAAGAGAGCTATATTATTTTAAAAGCTTTGGTTAAAGGTAGATTATTGCAAAATGAGAATGGTGAGAACTATTTGAGCACTAAGTGTCAGGTAACATGCTGAGAACTTGAAATTTATTTTGTTTAATATTATAGTAACCCTATGAGGTGGGCATGATTATTGTGCCCAAGCCATTTGCCCAAAGTCACACAACTAGTAAGCAGCAAGGGACTCAAACTTTGTTTGAGTCTGAATTTGTAGCCTTTGTTTTTAACCACTATGTTATACTGCCTCCTAAAAGGTAAATGAGGAGCTAAGGTTAGTTATCCTAAAGACAAAGTTACATGGTGAATTAACAGTAGATTGCATGGATGGTTTTATATAAAAACTGAAATTAGGCCAGGTACGGTGGCTCATGCCTGTAATCCCAGCACTTTGGGAGGCCAACGGGGGTGGATCACTTGAGGCCAGGAGTTCGAGACCTGCCTGGCCAACATGGCAAAACCCCGTCTCTACTAAAAATATATATAAATACGAAAAATTAGCTGGGCATGGTGGCATATGCCTTGGTGCATGCGCCTGTAGTCCCCCAGCTACTCAGGAGGCTGAGGCACGAGAATTGCTTGAACCTGGGAGGCGGAGGTTGCAGTGAGCTGAGATCATGCCAGTGCACTCCAACCTGGGCGACAGAGTGAGACTGTATCTCAAAATAAATAAAATAAAATAAAATAAAATAAAATAAAAACTGAAATTCATCTTTCTATAAATGGTAGAATCAGAAATAAGGAAATAAACCTCAATGTAAAAAAAAATTATTAGATACAAGCTGAAATGAGGAACCTTATGTGGACCATTTCCTTACAGAGAAAATAAATTATTGAAAGGCCTCTCAAGTTTTAAAAAAGTGTTGGGGCTGCTGATAAATGATGGAAGATAAATGTCAATGAAGAGAAAAGTAGATGTCTAAATTTATAGCAAAGAGGATTTTGCTTTACCAAAATATAAGAAATATAAAGATGTATACAAGATATTAAATATTACAAAGATATGTTACAAGGAATGATATGTTTATGTTCTGGCCATTTAAGGAAAAGGCATGCAAAAGAAGAGAGGGGAAAAGCCAGGGGAAGGAGAGGCAGAGATAGAAGACATATAGGGGGTGTATTCATCTGTTTTCACACTGCTATAAAGATACTACGTGAGACTGGGTAATTTATAAAGAAAAGAGGTTTAATTGACTCACAGTTCCACTTGGCTGGGACGCCTCAGAAAACTTAAAATCATGTTTTTAAGGTGAAGGAGAAGCAAGTACCTTCTTCACAAGGTGGCAGGAAAGAGAGAGAAGGGGGAAGTGCCAGACACTTATCGAACAACCAGATCTAATGAGAATTCACTATCACCAGAACAGCATGAAGGAAACAACCCCCATGATCGAGTCACCTCCCACCAGGTCCCTCCCTTGACAAGTGAGAATTACAAGAGTTTGCTTCAAAATTCTTCTTTCTAGATCCCATTCCTTAAGAAATACTACGAAACCGCCTATTGCATCACTTACCCGTGACATCCTATTCCCTCTCTGTCCTTAAGTGAACCTCGAAGCCAGAACCGTGAAATGTACTTAAGTATTCATTTATTATTGGCTTTGAAGTTCTCTGTAAAAATGATGCTAAATTATGTATTAGTCTATATTCCCATTTAGTTTTTATGTACTTTCCTATTCTCACATGGGTTATTTTTCCATGTTGTAAAATATGCCCCATTTTTCCCCTAGTAATGTTTGCTAGATAAGCTAAAAATATATCTCTTCCTTAGCATGTATCTATTATAGATAGCCGATAGAAGTAATATTATGTGACATGTAAATTTCCTGGAGTTATTATTAGCTATTAATTTCATCTTTTCATTCTCCCCAAGTAATTCCCACATATTATCTTGTTTTCAAGTTCTAAAATTAAATAACTGCATGATTTATCATGTAGTTTCCTCTTTCTCATCAAAAGTGAAATTTCATTTTTTATGATCACTGTGGATGATTTAAACTTAAAGAAAGAAAAATAAATTTTCTTAAATAATGATGATAAATGATTTTAAGGCCATGTTGCATCTGACAACCGTGAAATAAAAATGGCTATTACCAATGGAAGAACAGACATGAGGTCGAGATGAAAGCTGGAAATTCCTCACCCATAGTTCATTTTGTGTGTTTATGCTGATGAGAATGGTTTATTATTAGAATAGGTTGCAATAATAAACCAATGTGGAACCTGGGATAATTTTATTTTTATTTTTAGAAAAGTAAACTAAGTTTCTCATTCCTTGTGTGTCTGCCTAAATGAAGGGAGGTGAAGAATAGTCATTCCTCAGTGAACATGACATTTTTATTAAGCTAAGGGTGACATATCTGGTCATACTACACAGTTGAATGTTCCATTTTAACACGGAACAAACCCCTTATGTAACACAATGGCACAGATTGACCATTAGCCAGCTTCATTTCATATTCTGTGTAAGTACAGTTTTTAATTTGGTAAATGAAAGAGTTGGTTAGTCATCAACATTTATCAACTATTGTACTTAATGGCCTTCAGAGCACTGTGCCAAGTGC